CCAAGGAAGAATTCAAAAGCAAGTCTTCAATCTGCGCTACTGGTTGGAACGACAATTTCACATTTAGTGAGGTCGACATAAATGAAATTTTAGAGGCAATTCAAAAATTAACACCGAAGAAGTCAGCGGGAGATGATACAATACCTAAATTTATTATTAAGGGATGCGCTGATTTGTTTGCACCTTTACTTATGCAGATATTTAACCTATCGCTGAGAAATGGTGTTTTCCCATGTCTTTGGAAAAGATCAGTGATAGTGCCAATACACAAAGCCGGTGACGTGTCTAGGGTAGATAACTACCGCCCCGTGTCTTTGTTGTGTTCTTTTTCAAAGGTTTTTGAGGTAGTTTTACATGCCCGTCTTTCTTTTTACTTTTGTCGAAAACTGAGCACCGTTCAGCATGGATTTATAAAAGGGCGTTCAGTAGAAACGGACCTTTGTTCTCTCCTTGAGTATACTGTCCCATTTGTTCTTACACGTGGGCAAGTTGATATTGTGTATTTTGACCTATCAAAAGCCTTCGATAAGGTTAATCATGACTTACTCTTGTATAAGCTCTCTTTATACGGCGTTTCGTCGTCTCTTTTAAACTTATTCCGTAGTTATCTGTCGGATAGAAAGAGTAGAATAAGAATCTTGAATAGTTTCTCAGATGTATTTACTCCAACTTCGGGAGTCCCTCAGGGATCGAATTTGGGGCCGCTACTTTTTCTTATATTCATCAGTGATATAGAATTGTGCATACAAAATGCGAAACTGCTCTTGTTTGCGGACGATATTAAGCTTTATCTTAGTATCCAGTCGGAAGATGATTGTGCTCTTTTGCAAGAAGATGTATCACGTATCTCAAACTGGTGCTCATGTAACTTTTTGCTGGTCAATCCAGATAAAACAAAAGTGCTATCTATGTGCAGAAAACGCGAAAGAATTTTACATCAATATTTTATCGGCAATTCCACTATTGAACGTGTGGAACAAGTTCGTGACCTTGGTGTTTATTTCGATAGTAATCTTACCTTTTCATATCATGTTACACAAATTGTTGCTTCTGCCTTTAGAACAATGGGGATGATATCACGTTTGACGCATGATTTTTCAAATATAATGTGCGTAGTTCGATTGTTCTGTTCCCTTGTACGAGTTAAACTTGAGTTTTGTAGTTCAGTGTGGAATTCGCTAACAATGACCGACGCTGCACGGATAGAAAGAGTTCAGAAGCGATTTATACGCCTTGTTTACGATAGATATTTTGATAGAAAATGTTATTTTGATTATGAATACCTTCTTAGAGAACTTTCACTCCAGAACCTTTCAAAAAGAAGGATTGCTCGTGACATTATATTTTTATACAAAGTGGTTCACGGCCAAATTGATAGCAATCTTGTGTCGCCTTTAAACTTTCATGTACCGGCCCGAGTCGTTAGAAACTCAAGCGTGTTTTATAGATCTATCCAAACGAGACCGTCCCCTTTGGCTCGAATGCAAATTTGTTTAAATGAATTTCCGACTCATGTAGACATATTCTTAAATTTTGCAGCGTTCAAACGAATACTTGATATGCATATTTTTGGTTTATGATTGTGAAGTGTTTTAATTTCGAGAGCGTATGTCGGGGGGGGGGGGGGGGGGGGGGGTTGAGATTGTGTACTGTTTTAGGTGTTTTTTTTTTTCTCTTTTTAAACTTTTTATGTGCCACCACACTGTAACCAATAGGTTGTTCTGGGGCATTATACAAATAAAGGATTATTATTATTATTATTAAAGGGGAAGGGGGGGGGGGCACGAGCCTTAATGACTTTTCGAAGTCTATGGCTATGCTCCTACTGTTGTCTTCTTCTTCGACGTAAAAAGTTACTTAATTTTTTTCCGCACATGATTAATCACCAATCATGGAAAGTAAATAACTTGTTGCAGGACCTTCCCTTTCTCTTATGTGGCAACATATTGTCCGGCTTGGTTGCCCCATCTCCCACCCTGAGTGAGTCAGAAGCACTTTAGGCGACAGTTTGAAACACATACTCACTCAAAACGGTTCATTTCGGGCAAATGCCTTTGACCAGACATGGCGATTATACTTTTTAACGGCATTCGGGATGGTAGCTGTGAATAGATCAAGAGGTCGAAGTAAGGGGAGATGCATTAAACTAGCACAAGCTCCCTCGGGGAAGTGCCCGCGTTATTGTGACCCGTACACATTCGTGCGCACAGAGGAGCGCACTCTAGACTGAGGTCTTCGGGGTTTGTTGGTGTCAGTTTTGGACAATCCGAATGAGCAGCGACGGTGGCCGTGAGATGCGACATGGGTGAAGGAAATCTCGGAGTCTCAGTGGTCTCTCAGTGGAATCCTTTCTCTCCGAAGAACCCTGCCCGTAATACATCCTGGGTTCCTTCCGAATGACACTGACGATGATGGTCCCTCTGAAGAAGCCAGGAGGTATTACAGTGGTCGCTATTGCATCAGGCTCTCCTAGAGTATAAAATACATCTTTCTCCAAGTGCAGGCGCATGATGGCAACTATGCAAAGAAGTGCTCACAGGTCTCCGTGTCGATTGTGCCCAGGAACGTGGTGTTCGGCCTGTCAAGTGCCAGCGACGAGGAAATGGTGGCTTTCCCGATGCTGCGCGACAAGTTGATCGCGCTGCAATCATTATCACCGGAGCTCGACCTCGTGGTCGCGGTGGAAGGCACTATGCAGCACGCATCGCTCATCACCTACGCGCTCCAGCAAGCCGCGCACGTCATTCACCCGAACGGCTTGCTCTGAGGCGCTGCCAAAGGTCACGTCAGGCCTGCCACGTCCCGGTCAGCGGGAGCTGTCCCCGCCGTTCATTTTGGACGGACAGAGGAGAAGCTGAGCGAAAGGGGCTCCTTCCGGAAGGGGTCAAGACTAGCGCATTTTGTAAAATAAAAGACTCCTTAAGCCTTTCTCAGACACCCGACGGGCCTCTTGCTCGCGTCCTTCACGCTCAAGCTGCTTGAGCACCCTTGTAACCTCCATTTCGCGGCGCCGAGCAATGGCGTCGGGCTGCGGATCGCCATGGTCCCGGGTTCGCTTCCCACTGAGCCGTTTGGGACTTCTTACTCGTCATAATTAATTGGGCCTGATTACGAATTGATTAGTGCTTTTATACTCTTTTTTTTAAATTTGGGGTTGTTTTGTGTTTTTGTTTGTTTCAAATTTGGAGTTCCTTTTTTTCTTAAAAATTCATTTTTTTTTTTTTTTTTAGTAAATCGAGGTTCACAAGGGCTCAGTAGCGTAGCCATTAATTTTTTTTCGGGGGGCCCTCCAGAGCGAACGGTGGAGATGAGGCGAGTTCCTCCATGCCTGCTCTCCAGCGTTCTAAAGTGGAAAGATTCGAAGACTGGAGAAGCTTGTCGTGTCTTTATAGACCCTCCAGAGTGCAAGTTGCCGGATGCGCCCTCTGCCCAACAGCAGCGTGCTGGCCCGATCTCCTTTTGTGAGCGTTGTGTTGCTGTGTTCGCAACTCGAGCTGAGTCTTGAAATAATCGTTCGTGCGGTCGTCCATCCCATGGTCTCTGATAAAATCGTAATGTGCTGATAACAGTGATAACAGAAAGACCTGTCATATGTAGGAATAAGTTCAACTAGTGACCCACCCAATATTCGTTAAGTTTTGTGGTTTGCGCAGAGTGTCGAGCCGAAATTTTTATCGGTTCCGTTCGGGCTCACGGCTTACGGTTCAGTTCGGGGAGCAAAAATAAAAACGCGAAAAATATAGTCTCAATTTAGCTGTTAAAACCGGTTCGGAACCTTTAACAGCTAAATTAAGACTATATTTTTCGCGTTTTTTTTTTTTTTTTTTTTTTTTTTTGGCAATAGGCACTGTTTCAACCGTGAAACGAGAAGCTTGATAGATTTTTGTCATTCCTACAATCCACTTTTGTTTTCAGGTGGCAAAAATAAGAAATTGCATTATTTAATTTCAGTGAAACAGTAAGAGAAAAGCAAGATTAACATACAAAACGCCGTGTTTATACAACTCAGCATTTATTTGCGTGACCTCAGTCGCGTACATTTTACCTGAATCGAAAGGTTGTCACGAAGTCTGGTAGGTCGCCTAAAATGCCCGTAGTTGGTGCAACGTTCCGTCGCAGTATTAAAAGTTGAGTCCCAGTTGTGCTCTTGAACTTGGGAAATAATTACAGTGCATAAATCATGGAATGGGCACCTCCTCGCCATATATATCGTGAAATCTAATTTACGAAATATGTTTCACAATATACATGATGACGACGCAACTGAGCTAAAAGTAATATTATCAAAATGCCAGGAAAGTTTTAGGACAGGCCCTTGCAGTCCATCTTTTTATAGAAACACTGAGCGGCAATCACAGCGCTTGTTTTCCTGACCAACATTGTTTACACTCAGCACCATGATGCGGGCGAATAATCATGCAAAAAAGAGGGATCAAAATTGTCCACTCTAATCTACAGACACCTTCGTAGTCAGATCGAATCTGGCCTAAAATAGTGCACACTTAAGGGAACATTTACGGCATAACTAGGCGTTTGTGGTTTGTTCTTGACAAAATGCCGGTCAATTCAATTTGCAAATAAGCATCACCCTTGCTAGTCGGTGATTTGCTGTTAAAAATAACAAACTAGTATGGCATACTCCACTCGACATTGCAGCTACTTAACTGGTCACTTGCTGGCGGTCTCCCTAGTGAAAAAAAACAGAACAACTTTTCGCTATCTGGATTATGGACATGGAAATTTAAGTGGATTCTGTCTGGATTTCAGGTTTTCGGAAATTATTTTGTCTGCAAATTGGGTTTAAGGTTTCCAGAAACAATTCCAGTTAGATTCCCATTTTCATAATCTATGATGTGAAACGTTATACTGGTTTCTTCGGTAGGGCTGCGTGCGCAATCGTCATAGTTCCGCCACGCCCCCCTGTGTACTTTGTTTTTGTCCTGCCTACAAACCAGTGTTGCACGCGTTACCGAAAAAAGCAACGGAATACGTTACCCGTCACTTGCACGTAAAAGTAACGCGTTACCGACCTACGTTATCTCAAAATAAAAGGAATGCGTTACCGTTACTAATAAAAAGTAATGTACGTTACTTTTCCGGTTGCAATCGGCGGGGTACCCTATCACTCTAAAAAAAAGCCCGTGCGTCCACTTTCCCGCACAACACTCGGAGAGCCAATCAGCGCAACTTACGGAGGCAGCTCAGCGAATGACGATGCGGAAACATGTGTTTAGACAAAGAAACTCAGTCTGAGTTGTGACATTAGACAGTTTTAGTATACCGTTGCTGGCTCTTACGTACACAATACGCAACAGTATAGCGTACACTAAAAACGACCTGCTTGAACCGAATTTAGCGTTGCGTTACGTTTCCGAGTGAACACCTCGCGTGATCTTGGTTAGATTTGCGCGAGCCGTAGCATTCCGCGTGCTTCTCATTTCCATGCTTCTCAAAGAATATTGAAAACGATATCGTGTCTAATCTTTTATTACAAATTAAACCAAGCCGCGGCTGCCTCGTCAAGCGCGCTTTTCTGCGGGGTATCGGGAGGATACGAGTACGAGTGGGCAGCCAAATTCGATTACGGGAGCCTCCGTCAATCGTCCCGTGGAAACGGCACCTTTTATCAATGCTATCGCGCAATGAAATCCATGACCTACTGATGTCCGGTGCATAGCGACCACTTCGGCGATTTCTTGAGGAATCGTTCGTCCCTCGGCGATGAAGTGTACAAATAGGCTTAGCGTTGAGCAGATCGCAGCGTTGACGCACATTGCGAGCGGTGAACATTTTCACTGTGCACCCCTTCAGCTGCTCGGCGATCTGATTCGACCGCGGTAGGTCCCGGAAAGAATTGCCGAGCAGAACTCCACGCAATTTAACGTAACGCTGAACTTCGAGAACACCACGTCGTCCTTGCTGCGCCAGTCGAGGTAACCGCCATCTTGAAACTGGCGCTCTCGTTGGGCCCGAGATTTCTCGAGAGGTTCCCGCAAAGCCCGCTAGCCCGCAACGCAAGATCCCTAGCGTTGCGTGCGTACGCAATACGCTAGCCCTTCTATTGCGTTCTGCGCATGCGCGTTCACGACCCGCAAGTTCCTTGCGTACGCAAAGCTATAGCGTACGATCCACTAAAACTGTCTATTAAGCAATGCAAGCGTGGCGTTTTGCATTGCTTAATGTTACAACTCAGACTGCGTTTTTTGGTCTAAACATATGTTTCCGCATCGTCATTCGCTGAGCTGCCTCCGTAAGTTGCGCTGATTGGCTCTCCGAGTGTTGTGCGGGAAAGTAGACGCACGGGCGTTTTTTAGAGTGTAGATACTTATTAACAGCAGTAACAGAAGATCTTCTCCAGAAAATAAGGAAGGGTGAACCTAAAAAGTGAAAGCCGTTTACAACTCCCTGTAACACCGAATTAGAGCGCAGCTCTTGAGGAGGAGGAGGGAAGGGTACTGGGGGGGGGGGTTGAAGTGACCTGGGGGGTCACGTGACGATGCCGATGATGTCATCAGTGACGTCAATGATGATGACGTCATCAGTGACGATGACGATGCGGACTCCGATGACGTCATCAGTGATGATGACGATGACGATGCGGATGTCGGTGACGTCATCAGTGACATCACTGATGACGTCATCCGTGATGATGACGATGCGGATGCCGGTGACGTCATCAGTGACGTCACTGATGACGTCATCGGTGATGATGACGATGCGGGTGAGGTCATCAGTGATGATGACGATGCGGATGCCGGTGACGTCATCAGTGACGTCACTGATGACGTCATCAGTGATGATGACGATGTGGATGCCGGTGACGTCATCAGTGACGATGACGTCATTGGGGAGGGGTCACGTGACCTCTGGGGGTCACGTGACCTTGGGATGACCTTGGGGGTCACGTGACCTTGGGGTGACCTTGGTTACGCCGACGCCGCTCAAGCCGGGAACGGGCCCCTAAGAGCTGCGCTCTAAAAAATGCAAGTGACAAAAAGAACGACAGCTGTTATTCCTTATACAGATAAGGTTTCACACGGTCTTAAAAAGATAGGAAATCGCATAACATTAACGTCACCTTTTCAGCACCATGCAAACAAGCTTTCTAGCCTGTTTCGATTGTTTAGTAAATCACTCAGCACACCGTCCATTCGGCTGCACAAAAAATACTGAACATGCTTTGTGCCTTGCTCTGAAGGAGTGGTTTATTATATTCCACTCTCGTGTGGTAAAAATCATGGCCCAAGTTTAAATGATCGATTAATACCCGTGCCACACGGGCAACTCGAATGCCATTTACAACAAATGACATTTGTGTCATCGGCGAATCAGCTCGCAATCTGTCGCGCGTGGAATGCGCTACGCCCGGAGTGTCGCGCTGATTGGCCGTCCGCTCAAATGTCATTCGTTATAAATGGCATTCGAGTTGCCCGTGTGGCACGGGTATAAGACAGTGGTTCTCAAATGGAGGTCTGTGAAGGGACTCTACGAGTCCGTCAAGACCTGCCTCATCAGTCAAGCCCCGCAATAAAGGTTGGCTTTTTTTAGATTGAAAAGAAACGTTCAAACTTTAGGGGGAGTTTTCTTGTGTATGTCAATGAGAAAAGTCTACTTCACACTAGCCCATAGTAATATCCATTTATGAAATCCTTATTATAATTAGCCTATACCTTCACCTTCCCCTCACCACGAACACGGTTCTCCATAATCTCCGCCAATCCACAGGGGGTCCGCGAAACATCCGTGGTTGAGAACCACCGCAAAGCATTTAAGCAAGGCACTGAAACTGTTGCACAGTTTCAGTGCCTTGCTTAAATAATTTGGGAGTTAGTGTCTCGACCTTTCTAAAGAACAAAAACCGCTTTTGTCTGCATGCCCTAGTTCTTATTT